AAAGATCTATAGGTCAGACTCTCTGGGCTTGGGGCCCAAAACTGTGTTTTTTTGTTTTTTGTTTTTTTTTGTGACCAGTAAGGGGATCGCAACCCTTGGCTTGGTGTCGCCCGCACTGCACTCAGCCAGTGAGTGAACCGGCCATCCCTATATAGGATCCGAACCCGCGGCGGCGGGAGCGCCACTACGCTCCCAGCACCGCACTCTCCGGAGTGCGCCACAGGGCCGGCCCCCAAAACTGTGTTTTAACAAGCCTTTCTGATTATTCTAATGCATGCCAAAGTTTGAGAACTACTGGTCTAAACCAATCAGAGCTTATCAATAATTATTAATAATATGGCAGTTGCCATATGAATATGTTGGCATGATAAGATTGAACAGATAGATTTGTATACATATCTGGGGACCTTTCTCTCTCTCTCTCTCTCTCTCTCTCTCTTTCTTGCTAGGCATGGACAGAGAAGCCTGCAGCCTCAATTGCCACTGGCAGCCATCTTGTGACCATGAGAGGACCCAGCCTAGGGATGACATCAATGCTGAAGCTGGCAATGGACAAAGACATCGAGTCACTGACCCTCTTTTTGCCCCTGGAGGCAGCCCTACTCCTGGACTTTGTGCCATGTGAGAGCAATTTCTCTCTGCTGTTTAAGGTGGCTTGAGTTGGGGCAGTAGGGGTGTCTCTGTCACTTGCAGCAAAACATCCTAATACAGGAAGGTATCACTATCCTTATCCGGCAAATGAAGCTCAGAGTGGTTAAGGAATTACTAGGATTCAAAGCCAGTTTAATCAAAACGTGACTCCAAGGTCTGAGTTTAGTCATCTTGCAATGCTGTCCTTATTGTCCCCTTGGTACCTAGCACAATTTTTTTCACATGGTCAGGACTTAAATAATTACTGATTAATTCAATGAGCCCACTACATATGCATCAACTTCCTTTTGAAAGAAACTGTGATGTGGCAGGCCAGGGACGGCTCCAGCCCGGCCCAGGCTCTGCACCCTTTCCTAGGTCCACACTTCTCAGATCTGCACTGTGGTCAGGGCTTCCTTAGTTGGAAGTGCTCCAGGCTAAGGACACTGCTGGACAGCAGGGTGCCCTGGCTTGCCTCTTCTCCATCCCTGTCACGGTGCTTCAGGGCAGCACACGTGTCTACTGTTACACATCCTGGTTTGAACACTTGAGGCCTGATTAGCAGTACCTGACTTCTCTTTGCATTTTGAGTCTCATCTCTCTGCATTCCTGCCATCTCCCTACTGGCCGGCAGACCCTTGTGAAAGGCAGAGCATTTGCACGCCAGAACCTGACCCAGTGCCTACAGCATAGGGGGCCCTTCACAAAAGTGTAGGGAACATCTTGTCGCCTTACCAGGCTCTCTGTTCCTCCTGGTCTAAGCCAGGAACTTTCACATCTCTATGGCTTTGCTGTGCAGTTCCCCCTGTCTCAAACACCCTCCTGACTCTTAACCCAATTGCCATCTATCAGAATCTTGCTTCTCCTGGAAAGGCCCTGCTCCAATGCTGACTCATTGGTGAAGCCTTCCTTGAACCAGAAATGCCCACAAAAGCATTTTGCTAACGCTTCTGCAATCACGTTTCTTTCATTCTGCCCTGTATTACTGTCAGTTCTCTATGCCTGTTTTCTAAATTAGACTGGTGATGCACAAACTTTCCTGTGCATCAGAATCATTGGGGAAATTTGCTAAAATGCAGATTCCTGGTGCCCACACCCAGAGATTCCAGTCAGAGGGTTAGAGTTGGGGGCAAAAATCCCTACTTCAACATTCACGCTCAGGTGGTTCTGGCATAGGAAGCCTTGTACTTTTTTTTGTTGTACCTTTCTTTTAGAACACTGATTTAGACATTAGGCAGCTCCTGTACCCCTGCACACCATCTTTCTTCCCCCAGCTACTAGAGCCTGGCAAGTATTTGGCACAGTAGATGCAAATAATTATTTGTCAATAATAATAGCTAATATGATTAAATATAGTTACTCTCTGCCAGATATTGTTCTATGCACTAAACTCATCTAATCCTTAGAAAAGCCCTATGAGACAGGTTGGAATACTAGCCCCATTTTATAGGTGAAGAAACCAAGGTACAAAGATACTTAATTAACTTGCCTACGATCATGCAACCAATATATAACAAGTCCAGTATTCTAACTCAGATAATCTGGCTCCAGAGCCCATTTCCTCAACTATTACACTTTATGAATGGGACAGAAAAATGAATGGAGGTATGAATAATGGATAGACGGATGAATGGATGGATGAAAGATAATGGATGGATGATAATAGATAACTGATGGGTGGATGGATGTACGGACGGATGGATGGATGATGTATGAGGTGGTAAGTGAATGGATTGATGAATGATGAATGAATGGATGGATGCAGGTAGGTATGGATGGACGGTTGATGGATGGATGATGGATGGATGATGGATGGATACCTTAATGGAATCCTAGATACTGCCTGTCATTCCCCATGGGACTAGGGTATTAGGGTGAGTCTCAGCCTCAGTTGGTCAGCTGGATGGGGGCCTTTATCTACAGCATTAATACTACCTCTCTCTACCCTGTGGTTACTTGCTACTCATACATAGAGCAATTTGGCCATCTGAGGTCAACTCCATTCCAGGAGAAGGTCTGCGGCAGGCTGAATTATTGTCGCCAGTTGCTCCCTTCATTCCTAATTTAGAATTTCACATCCATGGGCACTGCCATGTGACTTTGCAGTACCATCTCCTAGAGTAGGTGTTAGGCTTGGTCATGTGATTTGCTTCAGTCAATGGAATATTCTCAGACATGATGTGAGTGGAGGCTTCAAATGTGCTTGTATGGATTGATCTGCCATGAGTAGCCACTAATCCTAGGAAAAGGAGTGACATGCAGAGCATACCTGAGCCCAAACTGCAGCCAGAAGCCAAGACACTTAGTAGACCCACAGACTATGAGGGAGCAAAAGAAATGCTTGGTGTAAGCCACTGAGAACTGCAGGTTGCCTGATACACAGCAAAAACTGTCTAGTACAGGTCATCTGTGAAGGCCCTCGTGGAGTCCTCAGCAAGGGGTGAGGGCACAAGAATAATGGAGAAGGGGCAGAGGACAGAGAGCAAAGATGACAAAAAGCAAGCTCTTGCACTCACCGGTCCTTGAAGAAGAAGATCTCACCACGGATCTGAGCAATGCCATCAAAGACAATGTCCTGTACGCAGATCTCAGGTGTGACAGGTCCCAGCGTGGGAGTGGGGCCAGTACCATTTTCAGTGTCAGGGGAGCCTCCTGGGGAAGGATACCTGACCTTAGACTCTTCCCAGCTCCAGGGGCTCTCCCCACCAGGCTGAGCCCCCAGGGCTGCCTATCCAACCTGTTAAGGGTCAGCAGAAATAGTATTCGAGCCTTAGTGTAAGCCCAGTAAGATAAGCAGAGATGCCTGGACTCAGAGAGAGGAGAATGAAGGGAAACCAGAGTCCCGAGGCCCTTCACATAACGCTCTTCCTGACACCACCTGAATCAGTCCTGTCTGTATCCCAGGGAGGTGGTTATCATTATTATACCATTTCACACATAAGGAAACTGAGGCCCAGAAAGATCCCATAACTTGCCCAAGGATTCAAACCCAAAGCTCAGATTCTTATGCCCACAAGAGAATCAAAACAGTCAGGGGCCACTCCAGTGTCCAGCACTGGGGGTGTGGCACTTCCTCAAGGATTAATTCCTTTATACCTTATAATAACCAGCCACATTTTAGAGAGGAGGAACTCTGTCCAGAAAGGTAAAGACCTGCTCAATCTCTTGCAGCTGGTAAATGGCAGAGAAGATACTTGAACTTGGCATTTCTCTTTCTGGATCTCAGGTTTTTTCCTAAGTCCACTGTCCCCCAAACTTCATCACTCAGCACCACTTTCACTGTTTGGGCCTGGTCCAGGTACGACCAGGACCATTACATGTTTAATGTTTTTTAAAAATGGACTGACTTTTTAAACTCTAGCCTCACTGCAAGTACTAACAATAAATAAATCATTAATTTAAGACATTGGTATGTTTTTACTACATATTAAAATAAAAGCATCTTATGAAAACTAGAAACGTTCACCCCTGTATCATTAAAGTCATTCTACATGATAGTAAATTCCACCCTGTACTTAGCTAACTATCCTGGATTCTAAACTTCACTTGGTTGCTTAAGTCTGTGTGACCTTGGGCCAGAAAGGTTACCTTTCTCTGCCTCAGTTTACACGTAGGAAATGGAGAGCCCTAGAAATGGGAAACCAAGAGGGGCATGGATACTAGTGTTATTTGGAAAGGAAAGTGCTATCTAAGCATCCCCTCGGAGCATGGCTCTGACTCCCTATTATCTGGTCACCACACCTGCCTCTTGCTCTGCTGTCCTGGAGAGATGGTACTTTGCTGGTTCCCACCCCCGGGCCTCCATCCCAAGCTGCACAACCTCCCCAGACTCCCCCCGGAGGCCCCCAAATGGAGGTGTACCATAGAGCTCTTGAATGCCCTTGATGTCATCCTGGGACAGGCGGAAGTTCTTGGTGTAGGTGTAAATGGGCGCCATCAGGGCTCCAGGATCCTGTGAGTGCTCCAACCCCATGGCGTGGCCAAACTCGTGGGCTGCCACGAGGAACAGGCTGTACCCTGAGGGCAGCAATGTGGGAAGAGGGTTGAAAGATGGGGGAGAGAGATGAGAGAGGAGTCAGGACCTGGCCCCAGCAATGGAGACTTTTGAGGATATCCCCATAGCGGAACTGAGAGCCCTGGAAGTGGCGTGCATTGATTTTTCCTTCTCCCAAGATTTCTGGGGTTAATAGACTATGCTTATTGCTTTCAAGTAGGTATCAGCCAAAGTCCTCTCACCCCTTTCCAGGGTAGGCAGCATGTGCCATAAAAGAGGAAGAGGAATAGCAGCTGCAAATCCTCTACTTAAAGTCCCACTCATTAAACATTCCGTCTCTGGCTCTTTGTGTTTCTCTATGAAGACAAGAGGCAAAACCTGCCCCTCAGAGTCTTCAAAGAGGTAAGAGAATGGGTATAGGCTCGGGGAGTGGTTGCCCAGGCTCAGCCACAGACTGAGCAAAGTCTATGTTACACCCTACTGGGTTGAATTGTGTCCCCCCAAAAGATATGTTTGAGTCCTAACTCTGGGTTCCTGTGAATGTGACGTTATTTGGAAATACGGTCTTTGCAGAGGTAATTAAGATTTAAGTTAAAATGAGGTCATACTGGGGTAGGGAGGACCCTTAATCTAATAAGGTTCACATCCTATAAGAAGAGAAGAGACACAGAGACAGACACAGACGCAGAGAGAAGCCCATGTAATGACAGAGGCAGAGACTGGAGTGACCTTGATTTTAGACTTCTAGCCTCCAGAAGCATGAAAGAATAAATTTAAGTTGTTTTAAGCTGCCAGTTTGTGGCACTTTGTCCTGGCAGCCCTAGGAAAGTGATATTCACCCCAGGTGATCCACACGAGCTCTGGAGCCTCAAACCACTCAGGCTGATGGAGAGTCCCACCTTTAGGTAGAAGGCTGGAGCAGAGCAGGTAAAATCAGAATAGGTCCTAGCATGGGATTTAGCAGGGGATAAGAAAAACTCCTTTGGCCAGCCTCTGTCAGCCAGCATTTGCCAAGTTCCACCTCATTGTGAGTTAAATAAAAAATAAAACACAAAGAGAGGCTGTCCTAATTCTGGCAGGCCCTGGACCAGCCCTCCCACCTGGCCATCGTGGGCTGCCAGGGAGCTTTGAGCCCGATGGCCCTGGGCCCTGCAGACTAGAATAGGAACTATATCCCAGGCACCCTGCTCACTGCACTGACCATACAGTAAGGTCACGGACAATCTCCTGGCCACTTTCTCACCCCAGCCTGTGAGTCCTAGAGGGCAGAAAGCTGTCCCAGCTGGCTGTGTCCCCAGAACCCAGCACTGACAAGGACCTGCCATTCACACTTTGGTAAAAGATGGTGCTGATGGGGCCGCAAGGGTTCATGGAGTGTGGGGTCAGAGCATGAGGCTTTTTTCCACTTATCTGCTGCTCACCCAGCTCCTTGAAGGCATCTCTTTATTGGGAATGTGTCTTAGTGGAACCATCTCTCCAGAGCAGGGTAACCTGTGTCCACCATTCAAGCATTTTTTGGTAGTAAGAGCCCTACTTGGAGGACTGGTTGAAGCAGAAGGGAAGAGTAGCATCTCAGGAGGCACAGTTTCCATCTAGGAAGCAGGTACCAGGGAGGACAGGGTCTTGTTTTGGAGCTATGTCCCTGTCTGGATGGGCAGGGCCTCAGCAGAGAACCTGTCTCCACCAGAGATGGGCAGTGTCTGGGGCAGGGAGTGTCCCTACCAGGGCAGGTGGGTGTCCAGGGGGCAGAGTCTATGCTGGAGGCAGTGGGGGCTCAGGAGAGTTTCCAGGCCAGGTAAGGGAGGGTGCTGTCCAGTGTCTCTGCCCAATGCCCAGGGCCCCATACCTTGGTCAGGGCAGAAGCCCCACTTGCGGTCATCGTTGAAGTTGGCCGTGGTGGAGCACCACTGCTTTCCGTCACCACGGCCGGCGGTGGTGCAGCTGTCATACTTCTTGGTTAGGAAGGTGAACGGGAAGACACACGGGGCACCTTCTGAGTTCCCACCAACTGTGGACATGGCTGTGGGGAGAAGGACACGGGTCAAGGGGCAGCAAAGGGTTTGAGGCCACCACCAGAAAATGATGACACGATGCTGACATGGACAAACCACTCTTACCAAGTACTCGCTCATCCCCAGGCACTGCAGCCAGTGCTTCACACACAACTCACCCCTCCCCACAATAACCCTCTTACCCCATTTCATGCGTGGGGAAATCGGAGCTCGGAGAGGTTCAGAAACTTGCCTGAGCAGATACTGCTAGGAAGTATCAGATCTGGGATTCAGACCCAGGCAAATTCCTGAGCTGTCACTGGCTTCCCATGGACAGAGGCTGAGGGGCCAGAGGTGAAGGAGGTTGGCAGGGCTGATGGTTGCAACACCCTCCCCTAGGTGGTGAGCCCATCGGGCAGAGTCCTGTGCAGACCAACCCATGTGTCTCCTGCAAAAAGCAGGTGCTCTGCTCGGTAACTACATGCTAGAGGAAGGGAAGAAAGAAAGGCAGGAGAGGAGGGGGGAAGGAAGGATGGAGAGAGGAGGGAAGGAAGAAAAAAGGAAGAGAGGGGAAAGGAAAGAGAGTGCAGGAGGGAAGGAGTCCTCATTGAAAAACAGAGCCTAGAAGGTGGAGATACAGACTTGGAAAGGCAGGGAAGAGAGACTGCAAGGTCAGAGAGAGGGAGAGAGAAGCACTTGTTGGGGAGGCTAAGAGAAAACATGTGCTGGTCAGTCAGAAAGGGCCCTGGGCAGGCCTGGCATTCAGGCAATACCAATTTGGCTGAACTGATGCCCACAGTGTGTTGTGACTCTGGTGCCCATGCCGTAGCAGCTGTTAAGTATTCTGACTAGCACCTCTGGGGGAAAGGAGATTCGGGGGGCTCTTGTGGGTTTTGTATCTGCAGGGTGCTGGACCTGAGGGGCAAGGAGAGGCGGCAAGCACGCACCGGTCTCAGGGCAGAAGCCGTACTTCTTGTCACGGTCGTAGTCCTCGGTGGTGCTGCACCATCGGTAGCCGTCCGTGCGGCCCTCCGTGGTGCAGCTGTTGTAAGATGTGCCCTGGAAGCGGAACGGGAACTTGCAGGGCTGTCCGTCAGCATTGCCACCCATGGTGAACAGGGCTGGGGGGTGAGGGAGAGAGAGGGGATGCGACTGAGAGAGAGACACCTGCATGGGCATAGAGCTGGATGGCCGCCCACCTGCCAGTTCACACCAGTGAAGTTGCTGCATTCTAAAATATTAAATATTTAAAACATTTTATAATATTTAAAAAAATGTTTTAAATATTTAAATACGTAAAATAGTTTTAAAGTATTAAAAACTGTCTCTACTAGTTGGCAAAAAACTGTTTCTCTGAGCTCCCGGAAGAGACAACCGCCTCCCTGTCCAAACTGATCCCCCGCTGGGAACTTATGGACCCCCAGCAATGAAATGGTTAACATGTGACACATAGCAGGGGCCTCCAGAACTCTGCCCCAGCCCCAAGGTCACTGTCCACTCTGCCTGGCCAATGCCCACACCATGCAGATGCTAAATATATCAGCCAGAGTGGGCAGGACAACACCCAGTCTCTCCTTTGGATAGATAGGGAAACCAAGGCTAAGAGAAAGCTGGTTTTGGAACTGCTCATAGTCACATAAATGAAAGAAGTAGATGAGGGTCATAGCAGAAAACTATAAAACACTAATCTCAATCTCTCACTCATTCTGTCGCTAACACACACGTATGTGTACGTATGCACAAGCATGCACAGAGAGAAAGCTTCACCTCCTTTCAACCCCAGGCCCTTTCTTGGACAGCGCTGTTGCGGTCCCTGCAGGAGGGAGGCAGGAGAGAAGAGAAAGAGGGAGTGGAGGGGAAGGTGGTGTCTTTGGAAACCTCTTAATGCACACTCCAGGCTCCTACTCTGACCTCCCCAAGCAAGACAGGAGCCATGACTGGAGAGCTGGGGGAGAGAGTGGGATTCAGAGTCTGGCCTGTCTGTCTTGGGCTCTTCCCCTGTTCCCCTGTCCCCTCATCCACCCCAAAGCTACAAAGTAATGTGTGTCTGGAATTGCCAACCAGCAAAACCACAAGTGCGTAACAAGGACCATCTGTGCACAACGGCGCCAGAGGTGACCTCACCAGCTCCTGTTAACTCCACCATGGCCAGAATGAAGCCTGGTCTCTTGCCTCCCACTGCAGGATTCGGAGCCCTTTACTCTCACCGCGCCCCTCCCCTATGACCAAGGGACCTTGTCCTGCGATGCCAGAAAAAAATGGGACCTAGGGAAGTGGCAAAACTGAGGCTAGATACCTTGGTGACCTCGTAGTTAGGAAAGGCAAGACCAGAGTCCCTCATCTTGCCTCCCATCAGCTGCATTTCTACCACCCAGGAAGCCTCTGCCTCCCCTCAGATCCATCCCACCAAGGGTGGCAAGAAGCAGACACTGACTCAGCGATCAGCAGGGGCTGAGTAACAAGAACTCTGCCCCAAGACCCGAACATGTGCATGTGTGCGTATTTGCACCTGGCTGAAGACCAAGTAAATGGCGAATGTCCAGTGCAAGGAAAAACCCTCCCCAAACTTATGAAATACAGCTATTTCCACTTCTATTATCAAAGCATCCTGTTCCAATCAGAGGGGCTGACACATGGAAGGGTTAATACCACCTGAATCCCTACTGGGAAATGCAAGATACAGAACGTGTTTTTATTTAAAAATTTCTGATTTTTAATGAGTCAAGTCAATGGCTTGAACTCTTAATACAAAGTTTCGCTTTGGTAATAAAAGCGTCAACAGGATGACAATTAACTAGCTATTTGTTTCTTTCCTTCTGATGGTTGGTGCTCAGTGTTCAGTTGCAAAGGGGTCGGAGAAATTCACAAACATGTAAAACTACAGCCAAAGGGAGTCTTTAGTCTCTGTAGACTGAAGAGTGTTCATGGAATGGAGAAGAAGGTAGTATTTAGAAAACTTTTTAGATTTTCCTCCCATTCTCCCCAAATATTCTGGGCTTTCAATCTGTAGAATCACATGATGATCAAATATGATGACTTGATCAAGTATGAAGTTACACACACTGTCTTTTTGTGATTTATGCTTATGAAGTGTGTCAAGGATACTTTTAAAAAGGATTGAGCGTGTACGTCAATACCTTACCCTTTCTTTGAGCTTCCCCCCCAACATGGCTTCAAAATCTCTAGAAATTATATGTCTCAAGCACTGACAAAAATACACACACAAATACTGAATCACACCTAATGCCTCTGTCTCTGCCACACAGAGATGCAGACACAGCCAGGCAGACTGCAGGGACAGAAGGCAGATGGCATGGCCCCCATGCCAGACACACACGTGCACGCACATGTGCAAGCACGCACGCGCGCGTGCACACACACACACACACACACACTCATTAGCAGAGTCAGCATCAGAACCGGGGCAGGAGCAATAGCTAACATTCCCAGGGGACTCCAAACCAGGATGGGAACCAGCCTCAGTCTGAGTCCTGTCTCCCTAACCCACTGCTAGACTTTCCATCCCCAAGCCTCTGCTCATGCCCTTAAACTCTCAATCTTAGTCAGAGAGTAGAGTGGTTCTGGAGAGAACCACTAGGCATTTTAATAGTTCTAAGCTTATTCCAAAGTATGTTAGAAAAGAAAATTAGCACATCAAACCTGTGATTTCCCAAATATTGCTAATGGTGAGACTTAAAAAAAGTTGAATCGATTCCAAGTATTAAGTAAACGGTGGTACAGGTAAGAGACACACAGCAGTGGCTCAAATCAGGACAGTGGGGCCTGAACAAAGGGTGTTGGGGGGTGCTGGCTGATGGGCAGTGCCAGTCCTGGGGAGTGTGGGGGCGGGGCATAGCGGGGGCCAGGGAGGGCTGGAGGCTGAGGTGGAAAGCCCGGAGCCAGGGCGATGCTCACCTTCGTGGGGGCAGAAGCCATACTTGCCGTCCTTCTCAAAGTTGTAGGTGGTGGACAGGACAGTGGGGCCTGAACAAAGGGTGTTGGGGGGTGCTGGCTGATGGGCAGTGCCAGTCCTGGGGAGTGTGGGGGCGGGGGCCAGGGAGGGCTGGAGGCTGAGGTGGAAAGCCCGGAGCCAGGGCAATGCTCACCTTCGTGGGGGCAGAAGCCATACTTGCCGTCCTTCTCAAAGTTGTAGGTGGTGGAACACCAGAAGAAGCCATCGCTGCGGCCCACATCGGTGCAGGTGGTGTACTCCTTGCCATTAAACAGGAAGGGGAACTTGCAGTACTCCCCGTCAGCATTCCCGTACTTCACACGGACCACTGAGGGGCAACACGGAGGGTGGTGGCTCAACCTCTTCAGGCCTTTCCTTGGAGACCTGGATTCTGACTCACCACGTATGTGACTTCCTTCTCCTCCCATTTCCCCGGTCCCATTAAAGCAGGTCGAGGTGCTCACGGTTGCCAAGCAAGCCATAGTCCTCATTGCTAAGTGACAGGGAAGCATGCAAAGGAATGGAGAGGAGGTCTGGGGCATGCGAAGGGTCCCTTTCTTACCTTGCCCTTCTCCCAGGGTCCACAGCTCATCATCGTCAAAGTGGGAGTCTCCCCCAATACCAGTGCCTGGGGCGAAGGCATGAGCCAGGAGCCCGTCCTTGCCGTCAAAAGGGTATCCGTCTCCATGCTCTGAAACACACACTGGGTCTCAGCTTCTAGATGCCTCGGCTGGACCCTGAAACCCATCCATGCCCCAATCCATGTCTGGAGCCCTTTAGCCCACCTAGCATCTGTCCCCTTCTCCTGTCCCATTGGGGTAATCCAGGAATAGGAACATAGGGAATCAGTAGAGATTCGCTGGCCTGTTACCATCCAATGGTCTGCACTACTCCCTCGAGTCCATATGGCCCCCAGTATCTATACCACCTGCCTTCATTGTCTACACTACCACCAATGACACCATACCTACCCACGTACCTATGCTGCCACACCAGTGTCCTCACTCACCCTCATTGTCCCCAGTGTCTACATCATCTACTCTCCTGTCAACACTGCCCTCTTAATCATATCGCCTACCTTCACATCATACTACCACCAATACCCACAACACTAACCCTCATGCCTACTCTGCCACCAAGGTGCATACCACTGACCCACATGTCCGCACTCTTTCCTGTGCCTATGCCGTTTACCCTCATCACCATAGCACTTAGTGTCTACACTACCTATCTTCGTGTCTATGCTACTGCCAGTGTGCACACCACCAACTCACATGGTGGCCTTGACCCCAAGTTCTATTCCACTTACTCGCATGTCTACACTGCTCCCTGTATCTGACCCACTCTCAATCTACAGTTCCTCACTATCTACCGACATTATCCAACAGAACTTCCTGTGATGATAGGATATTCTTTGTCTATGCTGTCTGATACAATAGCAACTAGCCTCGTGTAGCTATTGAGCACTCGAAATGTGGCTAGTGTGACTGAGAAACAGAATTTTAATTTTTAAAAAATTTTAATGAATGTAAATTTAAATAGCCTTGTGTACCTAGTGGCTAACTTCAGGTTTATACTGCCTCCAGGTTATAACATGGCACATCACCTACCTTCACATCTACCACATCTATGTGGCTGTCCCGTATCTGCTCCGTATTGTGCTGCCTCATCTAACCCACTTCCAGTGTCTACACCTCCTACTCTTCTATCTGAGCTGCCCTCAGGACTCCCATACCTCTCTAATGTCCATATCCCTGCCTTGTCTCTACACTTATCCCCTGCTGGCCCCACTTTTGCCTACCCCAGCGGCCAAAGTTGATCATGATATCAGCTTCTCCATCGTGGATGCGAGAAAACCGTAGTGGCGTCACATTGCTCCAGACTTGGAAGGCACGAGCGAAGGCATCATCCACTGTCTCTGGGTCCAGATCAGGTGTGTAGCCAATGATCCTGGAGGTGGCAGAAATACATGAGTGAGTATGCATGTGTGCAATTATATGCATATATGCAAGTGTGTGTATATGTGAGCATATGTATGTGGGTGTGCACAAGTGTGCAGGTGTGTGCATGAGCATGCGAGTGGTGCACAAGTATGTGCATGCACATAAGTGTGCACGAGTGTGTGCAGGTATATATGAAGGTACTTCAAAAAGCTCATGGAAAAATAGAATTGAAAGATAATATAAATCTTTCCATGAACTTTTTGAAGTACCCTCGTATGTGTGCATGTTGAGCAGAGTTCACTGTGAGAACGGCTCTCCCAAAATGCCTTGAGATCCTAGGAGTCCCAGACCACCCACCATTTCAGGCCCTGTCTCAGGAGTCTCATCTCTCAATTCTAGCTGTGGGGTGGGGAAGGGGGCAGGGACATAAATAGTGCATTATGGGACACAGGGCAGAGATCTCACCCTTGGAATCTAGCACGAGCCATAAAGAGCAGAGCTCTCAGCCTAGTTAGCAACCAATTATAACAACTCTATAATATAAAAATCCAATTAGCAACTACGACATTATAATACTTATATATTGGTCCACAATTCCATGCTTATGCTACTCTCTGACCTTCTCCTGCCCTCCTTTCATCTGCTCCTTTTTCTCCCCAAGGCAGGAAATTCTTTGGCCCACCTTTGATTATAGGTCATAAGACCCCCATTTCAGGAGGGGCTGTGCCCCATGCCCAGGAGGAAGGAATGCTGCATGGAGAGGTCAAGAAGAACCTGAACAAACAGGCCTTGCTGGGCTCCCCCACCCAAGCTGTTAGCGTTAAATCATACCCTTTTTGTCCAATCACATTTCTAGACAGTTGTCCATGATGGAATCACACCTATGTAATGAAGCTTCCATAAAAACCCAAGAGTACAGGGTAGGGGGAGGTTCTGGATCTTGGAGGGCGGCAACCTGGGAGGGCACGGAAGCTCTGCGTCCCTTCCCCCGTACCTCAACCTATGCATCTCTTCTTCTGTATCCTTTGTAATATCCTTTTGTAATAAACCAGTAGATCATAAGTGCATGTTTCCCTGAGTTCTGTGAGCCACTCAAGCAAAGTAATCAAACCCAAGGAGGGGTTTGTGGGAACCCCAATTCATAGCCAGTTGGTCAGTCAGAAGTTCCAGAGGCCTGGACTTGTGACTGGCATCTGAGGTGGAGGGCAGCCTTGGGAACTGAGACCTCAACCTGTGGGATCTGGCACTACTCCAGGCAGATAGCATCAAAATTAAATTGGAGGGCACCCACCTGGTGTCCACTGAATAATTGCTGGCTTGCTTGGCAGTGGGGAGAAGTCCCCACACATTTGGTCACAGAAGTCAGAAGTGGGTCTTCTGTGTTGATGACTGTGTTTGTAATTGAGTAAGAGCATAGAGGGAAAATACTACAGTTTATGTTTTTCTCACATCAATACAGATTGGTGTCAGAAATGGGATTTTCTAGAGCAGTCCTGGCTCACAGAAACATGTGGTTTGGGAAGAGAAAGGATAAAAGGATGGAGGATAAGGAACTTTTGATTCCTGGGTGGCCACATGATCACCCATGGTATGGAGCTGCAGTTGTGCTATAATCAATTACTGAAGGTCTAAGTTACCAGTGGAATTTAGAGATGGATCCAACTCCTGGGGTTGGTTCAATGGGTACATAAGGAAATGCAAACTAGTAAGAAAAAAGTGAAATACTCAATCCATTGGTTACTGTTATGTTTAATCACTAAAATGAATGCTGGGTTAGATCTTGATGCTAAACCAAGCTCAGATTTCAATTGGTCTGAGTTTGGACACTAGCCTCAAAGCTGTCTTCCAAGGGAAAAATTATGGAGGGACAACAGAAAGTAATTCTAAGACCTGTGGTTATCAAGAAGGTAGTGAAGGCCTCTGCTCATTCCCAACATTAAAAGGCTGCAAATAAGGCTGCTGTATGTATATCCACTAGTTTGGAGAAATTAATAAAGTTAGAAGGCAAAGATTGCAATGCGAAATCTGATCTAAAATTACCTGAGGCAGTAGTCAGGCAGGTTACTCAAGATGAAGACTGACAAACAGACAAGGGTCCCTTGACTCAACCCCCTGCTTGTGACCCACAGCCTTTTGCACTAGAGAGGGCAAAATGGTGAGGGGGTATCTAAAATTACCTGAGGCAGTAGTCAGGCAGGTTACTCAAGATGAAGACTGACAAACAGACAAGGGTCCCTTGGCTCAACCCCCTGCTTGTGACCCACAGCCTTTTGCACTAGAGAGGGCAAAATGGTGAGGGGGTAAACAAGAAACTTTTCTGGTGCTTCTTGACACAGAAGCCCAATGCACTGTGATTAGAGTTGGTATCTTTGAACATACTTCATGTGAAGCAGTGTGTCTCTTTCACCTGATTGTATCATGGGGATGGACACTGTATCTTACTGGGGAATGTTTCCCCTACCTAGTATTGTAAAACAGAAGGCATGTTAATTTGCCCTTCTAGCAATATTAATGGACTTGCTAAATGGGAACCAATAAGATTGCCCAAGCTCATAGATTGTGGAGTATAAGCAGTAGTGGTGGTAGGAACAAATTCTCTTTAAGATTGCCCTATATGGAACCTAGACTGGGGCCTATGGCAAAAGCCTGTGAGCACCTCCCAGAGACGATAACTGGGACTTTGGACTGGAGAATTTAAATGGTTTACACAGGATTATGCTACCTGGGGAATACAAGGAGGAGATATCCTAGGACTGACTCTGGAACTACGTGAGGAGCTTCTGAATTCTGTTGTCACTTAGACCATGCCCTATAAATAGCTCTCAAATGATGGACCAAAAGCTGCTGGGTTTGTGGATGGCAGTTCCAAGGTGAACAGACAGCAGCCTGTTTGGAAGCTATAACAGTGAATACAGCTATATTGCCTGATGGAAAATATAGTCCACTAATTCTACACCTATGTCATTTTGCTGTATATGAACGGGAGTGGACTGAGGGGGAAGCCCTGGCTAGACTGGTATTGCTGCCACTCTGATCGAAAAAGATAAAAAAAAATCAGCTCAGTGGGCTAAATTGCATGCTGATTTCCTAACAGTGATGAAGAATTGAACAATAATAAAAGCCCCTGTGCTTGAGTTTTTACTGACTTAGGGGCAGCGACCAATGGCCTGGCCACATGGTCAGGCAGAAGGGCAATGGAAACCTGACCTATTAAAGGGATTCCCATGTGGGGCACAGCTTTGTGGAAATTTGAGGGTAATATTAAACTAGAACATGTCAATGCCCATCAGAAGAGCCCCCTTCCAGATTTGGAAGGTAACTGGGACCACCAAGTGGACCTGTTGGTGTACTCCCTTGAGGTGGCCACCTGGGTCCATGAAATGAATGCACGCAGGAATACTGCAATAATGCAGAGATGGACTGGACCTAGACATATTCCTCTTGCACCAAGAAACTGTAAGTGTGTTTTTAAACCATATGTCAAAATTCCTAAGGGCCTGATGGGGGTGGGTTGTGCCTTCACCCCATCTGGCAAAATTTGGGGTTAACAGTGAATGCAACTATATTTCCTGATGGAAAATATAGCCCACTAGTTCTACACCTATGTCATATTGTTGTATATGAATGGGAGTGGACTGAGGGGGAGGCCCTGGCTAGACTGGTATTGCTGCCAGCAATCAGATAAGCACAATGGCCAAACCTAATGTCTCCTCCAAAGATGAAAAAGTTGATGTATTAATAAAAAAAAAGAAGAAATAATAATTGAGGGTAAAAAATGAATAAGTGAATTAAGTAATAAGGAAAACACAATATTACATTAACATCTCGAAAGAAGCTCAGAGGGGCCCACCCCACGCCCAGGAGGAAGGAATGCTGCACAGAAAGGTCAAGAAGAACCTGAACAGTAAGGCCTTGCTGGGCTTCCCCACCCAGGCCGTTAGTGTTAGATCAGACCCTTTTTGTCCAATCACATTTCTACAAAGTTATCCATGCTTCAGTCATGCCTACGTAATGAAGCTTCTGTAAAAACCCAAGAGCACCGGGTTGGGGGAGCTTCCGGATATCTGAACACGTGCCAGGTCCTAGAAGGTGGCACACCCCTTCCCCCATACCTTGCCCTATGCATCTCTTTATCTGTATCCTTATAATAATTACAATATAATGATTTATATCCTTTATAATAAATGTGTAAACATAAGTACATTTCCCCCATACCTTGCCCTATGCATCTCTTTATCTGTATCATTATAATAATTACAATATAATGATTTATATCCTTTATAATAAATGTGTAAACATAAGTACATGTTTCCCTGAGTTCTGTGAGCCACTCAAGAAAACTAATTGAACACAAGTAGAGGGTTATGGGAACCCCGATTTATAGCCAGTTGGTTAGAAGTTCCAGAAGCCTGGACTTGCAAGTGGCATCTGAAGTTGGGGGCAGTCTTGGGGACTGAGCCCTCAACCTGTGAGACCTGAAGCTACCTCCAGGTAGATAGCATTAGAATTAAACTGGAGGACACCCAGCTGGTGTCTGCTGAGGAATTGCTGGCTTGCTTGCCAGTTGGGAGAAGTACCCACATATTTGGTCACAGAAGTCAGAAGTTGGTCTTCTGTGCTGATGATTGTGCTTGTTGTTGAGTAAAAGCATAGAGGGAAAAGCACTACAGTTTTTGTCTGTCCCACACCGATATAGCAACCAGTCAAGTTCCCTCTGCCTGCCCCAATGAACTCATCTAATAATAACAACGATGGCTAACATTTATTACACTCTTGCTATGTGCCAAATACTGTGGAAGGCCTTTGTATGTGTGGGATCTAGCTTAGTTCCCCAACCAAACCTATGAGGAATGTTTCTTTAACCCCATTTTGTAGACTGGAAAGCTAATGCTGAGAGTACTGAAAAGTAGCCCAATGCCCTATGGCTAGTAAGCTCAAGGCTCAAGTCTGGGCTTGTCTGACTCCATTTCCTATGGACTTTCGGACTTTGCCTGAAAACTCCCTAATATGTCAATCCCCTATAAGATACATCCTGGGTCCCCTGAGTGGGGAGACAAAGCCCAAGGGGACTCTGTGTCCCTCACCCCAAGGATCCCGCCTCCCCCAGCCCTGCCCTGGCACCTGTATGTGATGTCATTTTTGTCCCACTTGGGCTTGCGGGGGAAGTGGTTGTAGTTGGCCACATCTGGGTTGCCACAGCGCGGCTTCCGCATGGTCTCAATGGTTCTCCGGTCAAGATTACCCGTCTGGGGTAACCTAAAGAACTTCTGCATCTTCTTCAGTGTGTCCTTCAGCACAAACAGGTTGCAACTCTCCTTGGGGCAGCCGTAGAAGGTATTCAGGTATTGCTGGAAGAAATGAGCACCCCCATATTGGGATGGTATGGTATTGATCAAGCAAGCTGCACCAACCAGTCCCCAGCCCAGCCCCATAGTCCAGATAGGACATTATCCAGGGGTTCAAGAGACCTGTGTTCCCAAACCAGCTGTGTCATTCATAACAGCTGAGTGACATAACAGCTGTAGATATCATAGCTACTGCATGTTGGTGCTTGACACTGACTATATGCCCTGGCACTAAAGTCAATATGTTTTAGCTCATTTAGTGCTCACAACAACTCTATAATGTAGATATTGTTATATTCCCATCATACAGAGGAATAAACTAAGGCACAGAGAGGTTAAGAAACTTGCCTAAGATCACACAACTCACGAATGGCATATCTGGGTTTGGCACCAAGCAATCTGGCTCCAGAGCCCATGCTTAATACTTCAGCACCCTTTCATTACCTCCACCATCTCATTTATCCACCTGACAGCTGGTGACTAAGGGATTCTTTCCCTAGTTTTTTCTTGTAAAGAGATGCAAATGCTGTGTACATATGCTCTGGCAGCAGACAGATTTGGCTTCAAATCCTGGGTCTGCCAATTCCTAAAAGAAAATGGTCCTGTCCTTCAGGGGCCATACAACTGGCTCTGCCCAAACTGAGGCCAAAACCAAACAGGGCCCTGCACAGGTTCAGGGACCAACCAACTCATTTATTTATTCAACGAATACTTTTTGATACCTACCATGTACTGTGCTACTGCTGGGGATAAAATAATCAACAAGACCGATGTTTCTAGTCTCTAAGGTTAAAATCCCAGTGCAGGGAAGCTGAATGGATCACAAATAAATGCAAAATCAAATATTTGACAAGTGCTGTGTTGGAATGGTGAGAGGAGCCAGGAGACAGTGGCCCTAATCTTGTTGGGAGTAGTTAGGAAAGAGGAAATATAGGGTATAACAATGTTAATAATATAATAGTAATAATGGGTAGCACTTATTGAGTGCTTACCATGTTCCAGGTACCCTCCCAAGTGTCTAAGATAATCTCTCCTTTAACACTGAAATAGGTACCATTATTATCCCCAGTTTGCAGATAAAGAAACTGAGACTTGGAGAGGTTAAACCACTTGTCCAAGATTACTAGGCCAATTGATTTAGTGTGCCTCTTGATTTGAAGCCAGCCAGTCTAAGTTCATTTTTTATTTTTATTTATTTATTTATTTATTTATTTTGTGTCCGGCAACGGATCGCAACCCTCAGTGTCACGCCCGTACCGGACCGGGACCAGCAACGGGATCGCAACCCTCGGTGTCGCGCCCGCACCTCACTCAGCCAGTGAGCGGGAACCGGTCTGTATGTGGGATCCGAACCCTCGGCGGGAGCGCCACCGCGCTCCCAAGCAGCGCACTGTAGCAGTGCACCACCGGGCCAGCCCAGCCAGTCTAAGTTCAGAGCCCATCTTCCTAAGTCCCCCTGCATTGCCTCTGCACAACTTGGGCTTCCGCAGGCTGTAGAAAGTGTGGGGACCCAGGTAGCTTTGACATCACTCAAAAGCTCCAATCTCACCCCAACCAACAGCCATTTCATTACACCAGCTCTTTGAATAAAGTAGCCTCCTAAAAATTTAAGGTGATCTCCCAACACATCTATCCAGAAGGGGCAGAGGACCAGATGCCGGAAAAGGGTGGGGTGGTGGGGAGAGGTGGAACATCCTGAAGGAGTTTCAGCGTGACCAGGAGGGGGCTTGGAACTCCTGTCCTGCACAAGTTGGGGAGAAGGCTGGATAAGGGTAGGGGTTTCTCAGGCGGCTGAGGCAGAAAGGGGGCAGATGTCCTGTGGACTACAAAGAACAGCTTGAGGGGTCCCTGGCCCGAGGCTCTTACAGGGCGAGAGGTGATGCCTCTCAGCTGCATCCCTCCTGGCCCCACTTATGCAACGCTGTGGCCACCACGGTGCCCCTGGAGCCAGGAGAGCGCTCACAAAACAACATCTGAGCCACAGCTCGGGAGCCCCGCCAGGAGGGAGGGCTCGCTGGCCGCTTTCCGACCTAACGGGGCTCCATCCTCCCCCGCCCGCCCACGCCCCACGCGCCCCCCCCCGGGCCTGCCGTCTCCCCCCCCGGGGCGGCGGGGCCCCTCTGGTGAGGGGCCCTCAACCCCCACCCCCGGCTC